AGTGGGGGGAGGGGGTCTGTGCACGTTTAGCGGCAGTTTGAGGGGGAGGGGGTGCGATGAAGTCCCCCCCGTACGCGCCGCTTTTCGTGAGGTAATTTTTGTGTGAAAAGCCGCTGAAAAGGGTTCGTTTAAAACCAGCTGGAAAACCTCGAGGTAATGGTGGGTTTTGAGTGAAGAACTGAAGTGGTTTTTCTTCCAAAATTCTCTGAGAAAGGGAGCTGGGGTGAGTGGAGGGACAACCTCGTAGTTTGGGTTAAAAATGGGGCCCTTTCTTTTAAAAAAATCAGCTGAAAAGCTGCCGAGTTTGGCTTAGAGGTGATTTTTGAGGGCAAAACCTACATCCTGTACCGCAAAAATGGCTTAAAGTGACCTTAAAGTGCTGCTGAAGCTCTTCACAACTTTTAGTGCTATCCCACCTGAAAAAAAACCCCCAAAAAACCTGATTTTTTTACTCCCATTTTATTCCTAAGAAACGCACAAGATTGGATTCAGAGCATCTTTCCAGAGGAAAATGCTTTAAAATGGCCTCTCCAGGCTCAGCTCCTGAGGAAAAAATAGTTTTTGGAGGCATTTCTACTAAAAAAAAAAAGAATTTTAGGCGTGTCAGAACCAAGAAAATAAAATTAAGCTGAAATCAGGGGGGTTAGGTTTAAAAAAAATAAGAAAGAACTTATTATTGCTGCCGAAATAATTTGAAATTAATCCTCCCTCTTTTTTTTTTTTTTTTCCCTGAAAAAATAACTTTGGTGAAAATGTGATTCACCTTTTTCATGGCCAGTACCTTAGAAGGGCCCCTCCAGGACCAGCCCCTGTGAAAAAGCAGCTTTTGAGGTATTTTCATGTAGAAAACGTGAACTTTGGCCATGTCAGAGTTTCTAAAATTATTTTAAATTTAAAATTTTGACTTAAACCAGCTGCAAATTGGCTGATTATTGCTGCAAAAAATATAATTGAGCTAAATTTTCCCTAAATTCACGTTATTTGGGGGGAGAGCTTTTCCAATAGCTGAAATGATGGGGGGGAAATTACATTTGAAAATCTTAAGAGTGGAATAACACAGAAAATAATTAATAACAATAAGGAAATAGTTTCTCCCGAAGGAAACGCCCCGAAAATGTCGGAACAGCTCTTCCCACACCCCCAAAATGCCTCATTAACTTCGTCAGCAGCTTTAATTAGCCTCAGAGCAGCTTTAATGAATGATAATTAGAGGGGTTGGGGAGAGGGGGTTGTCCCCTCCCTTCCAGCATTTTTGGGGTGTCATTTCCTGCCCGGAAACGCCTCAAAATGCCTAAAAAATGACTAAAAAATTCATTAAAATAATGGGTTTTAGTCCCTTTATTGAAAACAGGGACTTCCATGACTCGGCATGGCCTGAAGTGGGGTGAAACACCGAGATTTTGATGCATTTCTGTCGGAAATAAAAGAAATAAAGATGGTAGTTCAAGCTGTGCTGGTCACGGGTGAAAAAAAAAAAAAAAGGGTTATAAAATGGTCGCTGGGGGTTTTGGGGGAATAAAAAATCGGTGAAAATTGGGGGGTTTCAGGTCTGTGACCCCTAAAGAAGTTTTTTTTTCCCCCCCTCAAGATTTGTGACCCTTTCGAGGAGAAACGGCGCCTTTTTGGCATCGGCCCAAGCCCGTGACGCAGCAAAAGCCAAAACGAGTGTAAAATTAAAAAAAAAAAAAAAAATTAAAAAAAGCTCTAAAACCACCCGGAAAGGTCGAAGCCGGGGATTTTAGGGCAGAACTGGCCAAACTGAACGAAAAATCGCTGTTAAATTTAACCACTTTCGTGCTGGACCGCGTGGGCCTGCCAAAGGCCCACAGCCTGATGGGGGGGAGGGGGGCGCAGTTCGTGAGGGAAAAAAATCAAAGAAAATGGTAAAAAAGGGGAAATAATGAGAAAATAAGCTTTTTCACGCTGGGGGCGGTGAATTTTGAGGGGTGACTTTGGGGGTGCTGCCCTTTTTTGGCGATTTTAGGGACTATTTTGTCGCCCCCGCGGGGGCGGGGCTGGGCCGTTTATAAGGGAGGGCCCCGCGCCCGCAGCGCCCGGCCGAGAACCAGCCCCGGAACGGCCCCAATTCGGCCCAAAATCGCTCTATTCTGAGCCCAAAGCTCTTAGAGCTGCTCGATTTTATACAAAAAAGCTCCTATAATGGCTTTATTTTCTATCGAGAGCTCCAAAAACGGCTTCACTGCCTACAAAAAGCTCTTAAAGCTGCGAAATTTTATAGAAAGAGCTTCTAAGGCTGCTTTATTTCATAAAAGCGGCTCATAAATCTTTATTTAAAGAAAAGAGATAAAAGCTGTTTCCTTTAAGGAAAACCGAGCTCTTAAAGCTGCTTGCTTTCAAGAAAGATCCTTAAATTGCGGCGATTCCAGTAATGGGAAAAGCCGGGGCCAGCCGGGGCACTTTTAATTGAAAAAATGAATGAAAAACCTTAGAAAAGCTCCTAAAGCTGGTTTTTATTTAAACCGAAGCTTCTGATGCTGGTTTTTAAGAAATCGCTGCTTTCAAAGCCGATTTCTGGGAGAGAACGCAGCTCTCGCAGCTCTTTAATTCTTAAAATATCGTAATGTGATATTTTCGAAAAGCCGGAGCGAGCTGGGGCGGTTTTAATTTTAAAAAAAGAGCTTTTTAAGCTGCTTTAATTTAAAGAAGGAAAAAGCGCTTGATACGCTATTTTCTGCTAAAAAAGCTCCTAAATTTATTTTTTAAACAAAAGCTCCTAAAGCTTTAAAAAATGTAGTTTTGTCCCCAAGCGGGGCCGGGCCGGGCAGCGCAGGCGGGGGCGGCCGGTTTGGGGTGAAATGCGGCATTTTCAGGCTCAGGATGGATTGAGAGGAGCCAATTTTGAGGGAAGAACAGGAAAATTGAAGAGTGAAGATGGAATCGGCAGGGAAAGGAAAGTTTTTCTTCGCAGTTGCCCCATCTGGGGGGAAAAAAAGGACTTTTTGTTAAAATGGCGGCAGTTGGGCAGGGGAGGAGCAGAGAGAAGAGAGAAAAAAAAAAAAACCAGGACAAAAAGACAGAAAATAGAACAAAAAGAGAAAATAGAAGAAAATCAGAAAAAAGAAAATAGAAAATTAAAAGAAAATAGAAAAAAATTGGAAAATTAGAAATTGGAAAAAAAGAAAATTGAAAAAGCATAGAAAAATGGAAAAAAAGAAAATAGAAAAAAAAAGAGAAGAAAATTGGAAAATAGAAGAAACTAGAAAAAATTAAAAGTAGCAAAGTGGAGAAAATAGAAGAAATTAGAAAAAAGAAAATAGAACAAGTAGAAGACTAGAAAAAATAATAGAAAAAATTAAAATAGACTGTAAATAAATAGAAAAAATACAATTGGAAAAAATACAATTGGGAAAAAATGAAAAAAGAAAATAGAAAATGATAGAAAAAAAGAAAAACCCAAGTGCTGAAAAAATTGAGAAGATGGAAGTGAAAGAAAACAGGGAAAAAATGAGAAGAGAGAAAAAATAGAAGAGAATAGAAGAGAGGAAAAATGAGAGAAAATCAAAGAGGATTTAGAGGAGAAAATAGAAGCGAAAAATAATGAAAAAAAGAAGGATAAAGGGAGAAAAAGGAAGAAAAATCTCGATTTGAGCCCCGGAGCTGGGAAAATTCAGGAATTTGAGGAAAATGCCCCAAACGGAGCCGGAGGCAGCGGCCGGGTGAGGCCCCACCCCCTCTGGGGGTTTGGGAATTTTGGGGGGATTTGGGGGGTTTTGGGGTTTTGTCGTTGCAGGCGCCGCCGCCGTCGCCCCTCCCCTTTCCCCTTTTTCTATTAAACTCCCCAGAAATGGGGAAAACCCCCCAAATTCCTCCAGCGCCCTCCGGCT